AATTTGTTTATTATAAGTTTTACTATATTTGGTATTTTGACGTAGTTTGTGATTTTTATATAAGGAGAGAAAAATGATTGTTGGACAATGGATGAAGATGACCCTGGGAGCAGGTTCTCTGTTAGCTGTGATTGTCTCTGTTATCTTTGCATTAGAATGGTTCTGTGTGATCCCAGGTGGTATTCAGTGCAGTGAGGAGCGTGGTAAGCGAGAATATGTAGTCAAGAGTGGGTACAGGGCTTTGAAGTTGACTTATGTTAAGGGTAGTAGTACTACTTTCACCTTTGATCTGTGCGAAGTCATTCAATGTGGTAACAAAAACGCCTCTTASAGGCATGTAGACATATATGTTTGTCCATGTGTGAGTTATGATCTCCGTGATTGTGGAGCAACGTTTGGTAATTGTGGTTGGAATCAGGTAACTCTCTATACAGGGGACTGGACTCCCTATGACCAAGCCRATAACTTTAAAGAGGAAAGATTTATACAACATGATAAGGAAATCCGTGCCTGGTGGAAAAAATATATGTCAATCCAGAGGAATTATTCCCCAACGCAAAATCCAATTTCATTGTCTATTAAATCTGCAACTATCTTTAGGGGGTTCTACAGAGGTATTGGACTTGCAAACCCGCGTAACAAAAACTTGATGTTAACACTAGGGGCAGACGTTTTTGGCAAAGATCCCTATGGGTGGATTCAGATTACTGTGGTAGATACCCCGCCAGAGGACCCCTCAACCAACTCAGTAACTGTTCCTCCTTTGCTCCCTGTGCCCGAGATGAGCCCAGGTGTGAAATCGGTTGATTATTCCAGCCTCACCCCTGTAGATGTTATTGCTATGTCTACCGGTTACAGGGAGATTAACTTGTGGCTAGAGTGGGTTACTGAGGCTGCACGACAGGCCCTTTTGTCTGAGTGTGTGGCCTGTGCGGCAGCTAGACCCATCCTCTTTACTGATCCAGCCCCATTGATCCCTTCAGATGTCTTAGGTTTTCATTGTATGCTTAATCTAACTATGACACTAACCACACCCAKCTGTTCCACTTTAGAGGCCATTTTTCCGGCAGCTCCTAATCGCACACAGACAGGCCCCTTCACTGCTCTTGAAAGAGATGASTATTTTTGTTTTAAATTGTTTGCCACAAGACCTACTAATAACTTAGGGRAAATCAATTCATCATGGTGTAATACCACCATGCAGGCAGATACCACTAGGGGTAAGCGTTATCCCATAGGTTTAGTTGTTAGAGCRGGCCTGTACTATTATTGTGGAGATAGAACACTACTTGCTCGCATTCCTGATAACTCAATTGGTTTATGCGCTATGGTACGATTAGCGGCCTCTCTTACTTTAATTGGCCCTAGAGTTGAACCATCACATCATAACTCTAGTCTCCCTAGGCAACGCAGATCTATTAACCTAGACCCCACAGTAGGATCACCCACTTACATTGATTCCATAGGGATTCCTCGAGGTGTCCCTAACGAGCATAAGTTAGCTGATCAGATAGCCGCAGGTTTTGAGAACATTCCTATTGTGTCCTCGTTCTTTCCCGTGACCCCTTCCAAAAACGTGGACAGGATAAATTTTGTTCATTTTAATGTCATGAGATTAGCTAATTTGACGAGAGATGCTGTAGAAGGTTTAGCAGAACAACTTGCTCCGACATCATTAATGGCTGTGCAAAATAGGATGGCTTTGGACATGTTGCTAGCTGAGAAAGGTGGTGTTTGTAGCATGTTTGGNGGGCTTAGGAGGATCAATACCCTCAAGCAACGCCAGGAGAATGCTCCTGTGTATGTGTGGCACATTCTAAAAAGTAATATTTTCTGTCTTGTTTTTGCWTTTAAATTTTGAATTACTTTGCTTGCTTTTTAGGAGACAATCAGTCGGTCTGGTGAAGAACGCTGCTGTGTGAGCCACATAGAGTAAGGTTTAGAGCTAACTAGTTTAGTTTACTTTATATTCTGATAATTTGTTTATGATAAGTTTTTACTATATTTGGTATTTTAACATAGTGTGTGATTTTTATATAAGGAGAGAGAATGATTGTTGGACAATGGATGAAGATGACCCTGGGAGCAGGTTCTCTGTTAGCGGTGATGATCTCTGTTATCTTTGCGCTGGAATGGTTCTGTGTGATCCCAGGTGGTAGTCAGTGCAGTGAGGAGCGTGGTAAGCGAGAATATGTAGTCAAGAGTGGGTACAGGGCTTTGAAGTTGACTTATGTTAAGGGTAGTAGTACTACTTTCACTTTTGATCTGTGCGAAGTCATTCAATGTGGTAACAAAAACGCCTCTTACAGACATGTAAACATACAGTATATGTTTGTCCATGTGTGAGTTATGATCTCCGTGATTGTGGAGCAAAGTATGGTAATTGTGGATGTTGCTGCATTCTATGAATGAGGTCATTGACTCTTCGATTAATTTCTGCAGCTATTGAYAAACAGGATCCAGCTGTAACACGTCAGATGCTCATGAGGGTAGCATCATCAGTTGACAATAGAGACGCTCCTCTGACAGAAAACTCCCTCCCACTGCTAAGATTTTGCAGTGTTGTGTGATTAGAGCTTTGTCTGGTGTGGACCTCTTGATGAGAGGTCCAGAGTGGGATTGTTGAGGTGAACATTTTTATAATCAAATATATGCTTTGTTTACTTATTAGTAATTAGTTTATTCAGTAGAATCTTGAGTAAATTAGTTATAGTGGGATATTATTGTGATCACTGTTTTTAAAACTGAGTCTGACTGTATAAACTGGGCCTCTTGAAGGAATGCAGATAAGGGGGGAAGGGAGACTTGCTTGTTACCTCCTGTGCAGGAAAGGAAGCAGCAGAYGTCATGAGGTCATGGAGAAGCAGGAGTGAAAAGAAAGGCAACAGTCTTCACCAGCCCAGARGACAATTTGCCAGCACAAGAGCTGTGCTGCACCGGGTTATTTTGGACCAGGTTGTACGAATTGTTGTCTCTTAAATGCGCATTTAAAACTTATGAATAATTCTTGTATTTTGCATTTTGCTTAACCTTTTATAATTACATTTAATTAAGGAGGGTTTGAACTTTAAGTACTTGTATGTTATATATTTCACCTCGGTAATAGGTCAACTCAGAGGAGAGGAAACGAGCTCGGGCGGAGAGAGTAAGATCGTGGTTGTTCGCACAACATCAGTTTTGTATAAAGTACCACAAAGTGATACTTGAGTAAAAGTACAAGTATCTTACCAAAAATTACTTTGGTAAAAGTTTAAGTATCCTTTAGGAATATTACCTGAGTAAAAGCCTTAAATTATTTTATATTTGTTGTATTTAAGTATTAAAAGTCAAAGTATTGATTTAAAATGAGCAGTTAGAT